ACTGTGATTGATAAATTGGCAGAAGGGCTGGACATCCGGCTGAATTTCCCAGTGAGTCTGGAAAATGTTGATGCAGTGCCTGTCTTGGATTGCTCTGAAGCTCCCAATCATCTCTTTGTATTCTTCTGGACCAGGCAAATCTGTGCCTCTGATTATATACTTGTCTTTAAGAAAAGAGAGGACGATTTTAGTATTTCTGAAAATCCTCTTTGAGGACGATCTGTACTTAAATATTATAATATCATGAGCTTATATGTTAGACTCATGATCTTTCTTTTTCAGCTTCTATGGAGGCTTTTTTTATCTTTCACTATTTCTCTGGAAACTTGTGTTCTTCAATTTCTGGTTAGCTATTCTTGTCTGAACTTGCATTGCATATGTAGATTTTGTAGTATAATATTCTTCAATTTGACTTTCAATAGGTACAGAGTATTGACTATTCTGGTGAAGAAGTACAGGTCACTACTGCAGATGGAACAGTATGGACAACACAAAAGGTACCTAATATGCTTCAAGATTAAGGATTTTAGGGTACACAAGAACAATACTGACCACAATCATGTCCTTTTTGTCTCCCCCCCCCCCCCCACAAAGATGAAAACTCATATATTCTAGTGACCTGTATTTGGATGTCCTAGAGCCATCTTGAGCATGCTTGAGTTTTGAGTACTAGTTGATTTGAAGAACTAAGCACTATAAAGGTAGTAATAAAAACATGAAGCAAATAGATTTTTATCTGGTCTTTGAAGTGACAGTTATGTTTCCTGGTTCCACTCCCTGCTCAGCTTTACCCCATTTAGCATGTGAATCTGCCCTGTTAAAATTTTTCCCTTTGGTATGCAGGACTTGACAACCCATATTTCTCAGTCTCCCTTAATCCCTGTATCACCACCTGCTTCATGCTGTGTAATTTAGCTTTTAGTAATTTTTAAAATGATACGTAAACTTGGTCAAGATTGGATTTTTAAAGAGAAGGGTTCTGTGAAGGAAATAAAAACAAACCAAAACAGCGACCATCTTCTCTCCTTTCAAAACAACAGTTTTGTTAATCTGAGAGCCATTGACTATAATTTACAGGAGGTATTAAAATTAGTAGCATGGTTAGCTGCTGTAATACAAGCAGTTCAACAGACTACAACTTAAAACCAGTGAACTGCAGGATCTGTTCTCACCTGAACGTAAGGCATGTGTCTCCCATTAACAGGGAGTAAAACCAGACACTAATCTAGAGATGTGTGGTGAGTATTATGCTGCATCCTACAAGAATAATCCAAGATAGTTAAGAGGATGCTGTGAGGCTTAAGTGCAGTATTCAGCTTTTTCTACTGTTGTGACTGTAATTATTTTTCAGGTATTAGTGACTGTACCACTGGCCCTTCTTCAGAAAAATGCCATTCAGTTTAATCCTCCACTGTCAGAAAAAAAAATTAAAGCCATTAATAGTTTGGGAGCAGGAGTCATCGAGAAGGTAAGTAATTTCAGATTTCATTTTCTTTTCATAGAAACATTGGCTGCTTTGTCCCTGTTGCTTTTGGTGTGTATTTCTCAGGATTTATTATGCATTTACTTTTACTTGTATACAGTAGCCCAGAAGAGCAAAATGCTATTGGGGATCACATGTATTTCTGTTTCTTAAATTTCCCAACTTAATGGTGTTTATAAAGAAATTGTTTGCAGAATCACTTCACAGCTTATGTTTTGTGCCTAATTTTGAGCAAGCCTTCATGATGGTCTTAGATCTTCCAAAATTCTAATAATATTCTTATTCTAGGTCCTTTCAACCTAATAAATACATAAACTATTTCAGAATACTGAAAGTTGTGTATTTGACCAGTGTAAAATCTCCTACCCTTTCCCAGTGCAAAAAGACAGCCTCTCCTGAAAAGATCCCTAGTAAGATGTGTGCTTAGAACAAAACAGTAACAGAAGTAATGCCAGAAACGGGATTATAACAGTGTTGAAATTTAAAGGCAAGATTCAGACACCACCACCCCCCCCCAACATGGAGATCACTAACTTCTATGTTAGGTTTGTAAAAATTCTGCTCAATTTCTTGAGTGTTTTCTATAGTGAATTCCATTGTGAATTTGATAATCTGTGCATTTGCAATTTTTGAGACTAGCATTTTTTTTTCTTTCCCTGTCCCCCTTGGGAGAACAGGCCCATATATTCCCTGTTGAGACCCTCTCATAGAACTGGGTGTCTCTAATTGAGTAGAAAAGGGAAAAAGGATTAGAAGAACAACATATACCATATCCAGTTACGAGTTTTGTGGTATGAAACGCTTTAATTCCATCTTTCTCTCTTACTCTCTCTCTAGATTGCCTTGCAGTTTCCTTATAGATTTTGGGACAGTAAAATTCAAGGAGCTGATTTTTTTGGTCATGTTCCACCCAATTCCAGCCAACGTGGGCTCTTCAGTGTTTTCTATGACATGGATCCAGAGGTATCATATGCTAGCTGTATTTTCTGTTGGCCCTTCAGAAATTCAGTTTGGAATCTAGGTGCAATAATTACTGAACAATGAAAGTTTTCTTCTCCCCACCCCTGCAACTGTTAAAAGAAGTGGAAGCAGTGTTATTTATCAAGAAAAAGCTGATTGATACTTCATTGTAATAAATGGGAATGTTTTCCTACACTCGGATACAAAATAATATACAAGCAAGTTAATGCTTTTATTCTCAAACTATCCTGAAAATGAGTCTGTAATCCCTGACTATAGATATACTAATATGGGAAAAAGTCTACCAGTCACTTCCAGTTTAGGATTTCTTTTCCCTTATTTGTATCAGCTAAAAATCCTGTTAAAAAGATCATGCTGGCTTATTAACACTTAATGGCTTGCACTAGCCTCAATAGCTACGTGGAATGGCAGAAGAAAAGAAAACCACTAGGTTTTCTATGAAACTGAGGTCTGTAGGGTCAGTCCCAAACTCATGAATTTCAAAAGAAATTCAAACCAGTGCATTGACATCATGTTTCTCTTCTCCACCAGTTCCAAGCACACACATTACACATTTATATCTTACCTTTTCATGCTTTTACAACAACTGCTGCTTATTACTTGGCAGCAATTAAAAGGCCGTTTTGTAACCTTATGGCTTACTCCAAAAGGAAACCATCCTGTGAAGATTGTGCTGTGTTACTACACTATCTGTACCTGTATATGACTTTCCTTAAACGAGGTTTCTCTTCAATACTTTTAAGCTCATTCTACATAAGGTTCAGTGTGCTCATGCTGTCCAGAGACACTAGATGTAATTCTTAATTTGCTTGATAGCTATTCTCTGCTAGCTATCAAGTTTAGTAACAGAAGAATTGCCTTATCTAAACAAGAGAGGGAGAGTTCTTTAAAGGAGTTGAGAGCCTGTGTGCTATTCTCTAGTTACCACTTCAGCTTTGAAACTTCTGTATGGTAGCAGATTTATTGAAGTGGAAGGGAACATCAGCAGAACTGACCTTTCATTTCTTGGGACAAAATCTGCTGGTAAGAACTTAGTATTGGCCTAATCCAAACCATAAGTATTTAAATAGATTCTCTTTGTTACCGCCTTTTGAAATTGGAGTAAGTTGAGGTGGAATTTTGGCATGGAACTGGAGCTTAAGATGTCTGTCACGAAGAATAACACTATAAACGTCAAATCTTTTGGTGTAGCCTTTAAATAGGTAGGTAGAAAGTTTTCAGCTAATTCAGCAAGTTGTAGAAGGGGCTGACTGTAACACAGATCTGTGAACAAGACATCAGGGCATAGTAGTAATTTGAGCATAAATACTGTAGAATGTGCACCCTTTATTCTAAGGAATCAAACCCACTTTCCTCTAGAACCAAAGTTGCTTTGCAGCTGAAAATCTCTTTGTCAATGCCAATTAAAAGGCACTTTTCAAGAAATACTTAATAACCTAATAATTTCTAAATGATCTCATATGTTAATGTCTTATTTTTAGGGCAAACAAAGCATTTTAATGTCAGTGGTTACTGGAGATGCTGTGACAACCATTAAGAATTTAGATGATAAACAAGTACTGCAACAGTGTATGACTGTACTTCGAGAGCTATTTAAGGAGCAGGTAAGAGAAGCCGCTTCTACTAAAAGATGAATTAACCTGCCAACAAATGTAAAGCTTTTGATTGTATTATTTCATGATGTATAAGAAAACCTTTGACATATAGACCTTTTTCTTCTCTTGTCAGTTTGAGGGAATGTGCTTCCTTTGAGAGACACTAAAACCACGTTTGGTCTTGTGTGAAAAATGTGAATTATCTTAGATCTGTCTGAAGGAAAATGGTAATGAATTGAAAAACACAAATGAATGATCATCCTTTAAAGTGCTTTTAGAAAGGAAAATTAATTAAAAGCAGTACTTTAGGCAGGTAACACAAATACACTTCTTACTTAGCTGTCACTTTTTCCAAAGTATTTTTTTTTGGTCATCACTGCTTCCAATACATGATCAAAGCTTTAAGCTAGATGAATTTGATTATGATCCCCCCCCCCCCCCCAAACGCACCTGAAATTACAACACTCCCAAACCAAACCAATCCCTTAACTCTTCTAATAAGAAACAACCCTTCCTGAGCTGTCTTGGGATGGAGGTACAGCCAAAATCATGTACCAAGGGCCCTATATCCTGACCGTAAAAAAAATCAGATAAAAATTTCTACCTTTTTCCTTCCCCCAGCTCATCGTTAGGATAAAAACTGATAGGAGAATCAGAGAAATCTGGGGCAAGCAGAAAATGATCGCTTAGCAATGTTACTTGCATTCCACTCTATAGACAGTAATGCCGTAGTTAAACAATTCCTTAGAGCAGGTAGATCCCAAGGAATAGCTTGCATTACTGTTCATGGGTGATCTCTCAAGTTTTAGTGATGGTTCAGATGTTAGGATAAATGATCTTGGAAAAACTCTGGCATCTGAAAGCTTGGCTTTTCCTAGAAAACATACTTTTGGTAATGGCTTTATAGTTATCAGAATCATGTGCAATGTAAGTCCACATACCTGCTATTTTGATCTCATGAGAATGTAGAGGTAGCAAACAGGTCTTTGGTTTTGGTGCCACTCTAGTCTAGAAGAGTGATTTTCATGCCTGTCTCCATGGTTTATAGCAGTTGTGAATTTCAGTCATCTGTCCACAGTGCAGCAGGATTTTCAAAGACAAGATAGCTTCCAGGGGTGTACCAGAACTTCTTCTGGGATGTCCATGAAGCTTGCCATACTTCACTAGCCATTGTCTTGATTGCGTGAGCTTTAGTCTCTCACGTGCTACCTGAATGGAATAGTCTATTTGTGGATACCATATGACGTGTAAGAGGCAACCAGGGGTGCTTCTGTTTACTTGTCACAAGCTCCTCAAGAGTAAGACACAGCTGTAGTTGACTAAGCCTTCATACAATTGTTATCCAGACTCTTTTTGGTAGATTGGGTGGAATTTGCATGCTGCAGTGTGACAAAGAATACACAGTATTACTGTCATGGCTTAGCTACAGACACTCTGACTTCCTGGTTTTTGTTTTCTCCCTGAACGGGGTTTTCAAGCCAGCTCATTTTCTGATCTTAGACAAGTAATGTTATTTATCCATTGGAATAAAATTATCTCCAAAATGAAGATTACAGTTGAGATTTAACAAGCTAGAAGTAGCAAAGCATCATGCCTTACCACAATAAAAAGTGCTTACGTTACACATACAAACATGTTGAATGATGTTGATATTGGTATTTTATCTGTTTGCAAGAGTATCTATGTATTTTGAAGGGAATTTTTTTTTTTCTCATGTGTAGTTCTAGGTATATTACAATATCCAGATTTGTTGCATTCAAAACAGTGCAGGTGTGATATTTCAGGCATCAGGCAAGTCTAGCAAACAAAATCATCATTGTGGTCAGTAGTATAATAAAGAAAATTGCAATTTAATTCTGGAATGTAATTGAATCTGTATTTTAATAATACTACATACTCTAAAGATTAGAAGAAACTGTTTATGAGAAAAAGCTATGCAATTAGGAGCTTTTCTTCACAGTGCATAACTTTTATTTTGATTATACAGGAGGTTCCTGACCCAATGAAGTTTTTTGTTACTCGATGGAGCAAAGACCCTTGGCTCCAGATGGCATATAGTTTTGTGAAAACAGGGGGCAGTGGTGAAGCTTATGACATTATAGCTGAAGACATACAAGGGAAAATTTTCTTTGCTGGTGAGGTAAGTATCTTTGTTACTGTTGATTGGGGAACTATTTCTTATGAAAGATCATCTTTTGCTAACCAACACCATTAATCTAGAGACAGCATATAAATATTCCGTTACACAAATATGCTAATGTTTCTTGATTTTTGACACAGAACCCTTTCTATTCATATTATTATTGGGCATGGAGAGTCTGCCAGGTATTTCAGGTCAGGAGTGAACTGCATAACCAATAAGTGCAGAACATGACAAGACTATACAATCCACTTTTATTTTTAGCCAAATTGTCTGCCTGTTACTCCATTTGTGGGTAACATAACAAATGCATGCTGCTGATGGTACAGGTGCATTCTATACTGGAACAGAACTTACCTGCCCCACTAAAGTGCAGATGGCAAAACAGACGACTAATTTTGCTAGTTGACTTGCTTGCAAATTTTGAAGTTGCTAAAAATCTTAAATATTTCCTCCTAAATTCTAAGTTTTCCATGGCTTTTAAAAATGTTTGTATATACTTAAGGAAAACAAAACTGATCTTACTGAAATTCTATCTGTTCTAATAGTTTTAGAAACAATTCACTTTTTTCTTTTTTTTTTTTTCTTTTTTTTAAATACAGGCCACAAATAGGCACTTTCCTCAGACCGTTACAGGAGCTTACTTGAGTGGGGTTCGAGAAGCGAGCAAAATAGCAGCATTTTAAGTACTGAAAGTTTGTGTTTATAGATATATTTTTAATTGTTTTCTGTGGGTAAAACTATCTTCAACTTTCCTATTGCTGCCTTTTTCTTAAGTGGTACTTAAATAGTATATGGTACCTGGAGATAAAATCTTCATCTTCTTTTTCCTCTTTCTCCCCTACCCTCCTTTTAAGCCCTGATGATACACATTGTTGGGGTTTTTTTTCCAGCTAAGGTATTACTAGCAAGAGTGACATTAGAGTCCCTGGCCACAGCTTAACTAATGGAACTTTTTTTGAGAGTCCTCTTCTGTATGGCTCAAGTCATGCTATTGTAAACCTTCATTTCAGAAGGTCAGATTAAAGCAAGACTAAGTTAACATACAGCATTAAAAATGCTGGCAGTTAGTAGTAACGATGGGAATTTTCCACTAACTGTGTTTCTCAGGTTGATTATGCTTATAGGAGTTCAAACTTGCTCCCAAAAGCCTGAATAGCCTAGACAAATTCTAGAATTATTGTAGGAAGGAACTCAACTATCATTCTTTCCACTTGCAATCAATAACCTTTTCTATAATATTTTTCATATTCTTAGCCTCCACTAAGTGGGCTTTGGAATATCAAGTTTGTTCCTTTAAATCAGATGGCTGGAACAGTTTACAGTGCAATCATAGAAAGGTTATTGTAGATAATAAAAACTTGAAAAAAGTAACTTTTACATTACTTTAAAAAACTTTGGAATATTCTCTCTGCTACTTATTCAGAGAAATTCTTGTTACAATAATAGGCTAAGTTTAGATTTGCTTAGTGCTTCTGATCATGTAGAAACAGGACAGCTTAAAAATACTATATTTCTATGATTTTTTTGAAAACAACTTCCAAATTCATTTGGGCTGAGTAGAGGCACTATCTACTGATATGAGTATTCAGTGGGGGGTGAAGGACTGTAAGCTCCTAATGGCTCATTCAGCTTTTATATTTAAAAAATAAGTGAAGATGAATGAGGAAAAATATTAACACTTTTATGAAGGGCTGAAACAAGGTGGCTTGCACTTTGACTTGAAGTTTTTTATTTCTTTTACTATTAAAGTATTATTAAAAACAACTTGAGGGAGTAATTCAGTAAGGGCTAAGCGTCTATCTAATAGCTTTTCTGTGGGACAGGGAAGAAAATTAAATACTTTTCAACACACAACAACCAGTGTATCTATCTGTTGTAATACTGTTCCACTAAAATGGTATTAATGAAAAAAAATTAAAACCAACTTTTAGATCTCTTCCCCCACACCGTCCCTATAACTTTACTGCATAGACCTCACGATTTCTGGAAGGAAAGTAAGCACTTACTCTTTTACCCCCTGCATTCTCATGCATAGGCTCTTTTCTTTTTTTAATATCTTCATTTTAAAAATGACACAGCAAACTTTTTCTGAGTTACAGTGCTTATTTCCATAAAGCTGTATCCTTGGAAAAAACAAACCCAACAAGCAACTTTAAGAAAAATCCTACTGAATAAATGCAATTCTTCTTTTAAATACCTAATATTTTGGTTTTAGAGTAGCTATGATATTGTTAAATACCGTTATTTAATCTCTAATTTACAAGGTGAAGATGTTTATATAACTAGATGTTTTTCAGATATATATTCTGTTCTGCTTCTTAAAGCTGAATTATATGGATTAACAGGAAAAGTGTAACTGTTCATAATTTTCCTCCACATAAATGCTATTATGTACAGTTTTAAAGTATTTCCAAGTATTAAATTGTAATTTAAAGGCTATAAGAAGCAAGACAAAATCCTCTGATGATAAAAGATAATCAGACATCAGATTTTGCTTTTGGTAATCATTTGCACTTTGTTAATTTCATGTATTAATTTCAGGCCAACTTAGAGCATAACTAGGAAAGATTAAGCGGTGCATACGTTTCAGTTCCAAGTTTCTTTCCCAGTTGATCATATATGACAAAATTATTAGGAGAGGAGCTTCTGAAGGTGGGGAAAAAAGCTTATTACTACAAGCCCAAAACATTATATTCAATAGCTGCTTCAGCTGACCTTGGTCAAAACTTAAGTCAGCTTAATAACAACATATAAACACATTACAATTTAGGTAGGAACTGTCTGGGAAGTTGAGCTCAGCATCCATTTCTGCAGTCCAAAGTTTGTGTGAACATGCTTGATTTTAAGCATATGCTTCCATCGTGTTAATTTGTACTTGGGGTTTTAAATTTATCTACAACTTTGCAGATAGATAAATGCTGTATTCTAAAGAATAGAGATGGACATGAAAAAATACTGTCACGTTTGGCTTTAGCTGCTGCACACTTCTTATAGCATTAAAAAAAGTATAACAAATGATAAATTTACCAATAGTCTAGTCTATTAATTATTTGTATATTATTTTGGTGCCAAGGCACTTACTTAAACTGTGTTGTGCTGCACTTAAGTTTGAGAAGTAAATAAAATAAGTATGTTCCATTTTAATTTACATTCATTTGAAATGTATAAGAACATCAGGCTGGTTCTGAGACTTCATTCTTTAATTAATGTTCCCCCAAAATTTTTTTAATATCTATGTTAAAATTTATTTCAAGCATGTATGTGTTATTTCTTTTGTGTTTAATTTATTCCCTGCAAATAAAGAACTGGGGAATGTTTTCTTCGAGTATATTTGTTTAAATGTTATAAAAAATATTTGAATGCAGAGCATGATCTGTTACACTTCAACTCTTCTGTGTGACTATGTTATGGCAGCAGAATAAAACTGGAAAGTATCCACAGGATGCTCATGTTTTGTTTTTGTTTTTTTTTTCCCTTTAAATTTAACTAAGCCTACTGTTTTGTTACATTTGATATTGATTTAAGATTTCATTTTAGTATATTCCTACAGCTAGACAATTCCTCAGAAGAGCTGCTCTACAGCCTTCTCTGTACTATAAGTACTAACTTTGCTGTTATTTGGACAATACCATACATAATACCCAGTGTCTTTTGCCTCAAAGGTTTACAAAGCAATTAATAAACTTGTGTCAGATTATTTTCCTTAGTCAGAGGATATTTAAGCTAAAATTGTAATTGTTTAGAAGCACTGCCCATAATTTTAAAATAGCCAGAAAAATCACCAGAGAACCACTTAGTGCTTTTCACTGAATAATTGTAGTATGAACGCTTTGTAGGATCATGGTCCTAAAAGATTCCTCCTAGCACAGATCATTATAAGGATGTGCAAGCCGGACTACATACCCAAAACATTTAAAATACGAACAGTGACAAATTCTGATAACACTTATCTACATTGTTCTTCTTGAATGGGACTTTAGATGTTCATTTAGTGCAAGTCTGACTGCAGGCAACTTAAAAAAAATACTCCTAGTCCCTTTGAAAGTTTATTTAAACCAGTAACACATGTAGGTCTGAACCAGTGAAAGCATTACCATGTGGAAGATTCGCTGCTTGCCCTTTCAAAGTTTGTATCCTGAGGACATGCTTTGTTCACCTAATGCTAACGCCCTGCAGGAAATTATTTTTGTTACATCTGACACTGGTCTTGAAAAATGTTAACTTCATTCTGAGAATAATGATCTTTAAAACAGAAACAAAATACTAATGCTGCTTTTAAAATAAAGTACAAATCAGTAGATTTCATCACACTCCCCCAAAGAATGACAGTCCTTCAGAAAATAGTTGGTGTGAGAGAATTTTTTAGCCCAGCTGTCTAAAACTTAGATCAGAAATAAAAGTGAAGTAGCAAGTCTGCAACTGAGTGCAGTCCAGTGAACAAGGTCAGGTGAAAAGGCAGGGAAAGCTACATAATATTGCCATCCCCTTATCCCCAGGACCTCTGGAGATCATCTGGTTTAAGCCGCTACACAGAACAGGGCCAACGTGGACCTGGTCGCTCGGGGCCCTGCCAGGCTGAGTTCTGAACATCTCCAACAAGGGGGATTCCACAACTCCTCCAGGCCCCGTCTCTGTGACCATCCTCACGGTGAAGCTTTTCTTCCCCTAACATGTAATTGCAACTTCCCTGGCGTCAGCTTGTGCCTGTTGCCTCCCGTCCTCTCACTGTGCACCCCCAAGCAGAGCGTGGCCCTGCCTTCCCCATCCTCTCTCATTTGGTAGTTGCAGACTGCAGTATGATCCCCCTTTACCCGTCTCTTCTTAAGGCTGAACAAGCCCAGCTCTCTCTGCCTCCCCTCCTACATCGTGCGCTCCAGCCCCCTGGCCACGTTGGTGGCCCTCCACTGCATTTGCTCCAGTATGTCCTCAGCTGTCTTGTACCAGGGAGCCCAATGCTGGACACGGCACTCCCGAGGCAGGCTCACAAGTGCTCAATAGGGGGTCCTAATCACCTCCCTCAACCTGCTGGTTACACACTTGCAGAAACAGCGCAGAGTGCCATCAGTGTTCCTTATCACAAGGGCACACTGCTGAACTGGGTTCAACTCGGTGTCTGCGAGAAACATCTGCTCCTGCTCAGGTCCTTCTCTGCAAAGCTGCTTAGAAAGAAACCACTGCCCCCACCCACACTGTTGTATGGGGTTATTCCATCCCAGAAGCAGGATGCTGCATTTGCTTTTGTTGACCTTTATGAGGTTCCTGTCAGCCCATTCGTCCTAAAAGTCAAGGTCCATCTGAATAAACTGTTAGACCTACAACTTCCAGCTACTTGCTTTAATAAATATTTCTGAATTCAAAGGCAGGAGAGACATTTTTTTCCAGAAGGAAAATAACACATTTTTCAGCATTCAAGATGCTTCCTAACTTTTTTCAGCAAGTGAAACACTGATTTTACTAAATTTCTTACTACAAGTTTTCAGACGGTATTCTGGTGCCTTACAGATTTTCCCACTGTTCTCCCTAAATAATGGGAACTAAAATAACAACCACCACCACCAGAAGTCATTTCAGGAATGCTTTCATCTAGCTCAGTCGAAGCTACTTGATTATAGTCAACTTTCTGATTTGGAAACAGGAATAATTAGATCTACCCAAGTGGTCACGAGCCACCCTCTCTCTGAAATAACAAGAGCTAATAAACCTTTTTGGGATCACCATGCTGACCACCAGGGGCATTATCTGGCCAGATGAAGCACTGGCCTCCAAAAGGGTTATTTTTAAGTCCAGCTTAGTGGTGGCTAATCTAAACCCAGACATTCATAGATCTTACTTCGTCATGTGCCTTGTAACAGGATAATGCAGAAAGAACGCAGATGCTATAAGCAGCCTGCTCAGGTCCAAGAAGGGTATTAGAGCTTCTGGAAAAAAGTGGGATGGCACTTAAAGTTGTGTCTTCCTAATTTCATCTTGGTTAGACATGCCTGAGCAGTATTCCGTGGGCTACCACAGAAGTCCAACTCAGCTGTTTTCCTAAAGACATGTAACCTCTCTTCATTCAAAATTTCTACTCTTCCCTTTCCCCACCTAGCCCTCCCCACCTTCTTTCTCCTACAGGGCCCATACACTGTTACCTCAAGTGCCAAGCTCACTCATAACAACAGCTGTTTATATAAGCACGTCATTCAGGTTAATTTGTGTGGTTTTGCAGGTCCCTGACCAAAATACTGAATACCAAAGACTTAACAGAGGAACCAATACATTGGACTGTAGGAATTATGCTCTAAGCGGTCAAATCAAGATGTTAGGACTTTTTTTCTAGAATACAATGGTCAGGACATAATCTTAAGTATCTGGAAAGTATATGCCTGAGCACTTTATTCAGTTACCTTTTATCCAGTTAGCCAGTTTCTGTTTTTTATGAGCATCTCGATACAGGATTTAGACCCCTGATCAGCTGTGGTTTTAATCCAATAGCATCAGGATAAGCAGGTCATTTTATTTACCTTTTAGTATTGTCTTGCAGCTTTTCCCCCAGTTGTAGAAAGAACTGGAATCTTTTATCAGCTGCAGCCAGACTGGTATGGATTAGCAGGGAAACAGCTCAGACATTTCTTCTCTGTTGAGGACTGCATTGAGTTGTAGTTAAGACATTTAAACAAAGTACTTGAAGGATGCTGAGTTCATTTCCATTCCATCTGTGCAATTCCAAAGTGGCAAGTAATAGATATATACAATAAAGAGAAGTACACTATCCTTTTGTAAGTTTTCATTAGAATTTACACTATTAAAAATGTTTATACTTGGGAGTCACTCATCTTTAAAAACACTTCTTGGCCCACATAATTAAAGCCAACGGGTATATTTACATAAAAATCACAAGGCAGTTCAAGTATTTGTAGAAAATCCATCCAAAACCCCAGCAAAACTTGACACAAGTAACTTGCTGCTTTTAAGCAGGACTTGGAAACTTTCGATGTTTTTAATTGCAAATTAAAATTCTTTATGCTAATCTAGTTCAGAGGGAAAAAAAAACCAAACCCAAAACCAAACCAACCTTACAGAAGACACATAATCTTATCATGGTGCAAGGACATAAATTTTCAGCAACAGTATCTTTAAATTAGAGAAGCCTGCTGAATCAGGCTTGAATAGTTTCTACCAGATAAGATAAAGACAACAACCTTGTTTCTGTATAGATTTTTTTTTACTATACATTTAAGCAAATGTTAGATCATCAAAACTGATTTACATTTTTGTGAAAGACATTTATTGAATACAAAAAACCCCCATTACATTCAGCCTTATTATAAATGATTACACGCAAAGAAATTCAAAGTGTGTGAAGATTAATAGTCTAACTGGCTGAACATTTTCAGAATTTAGATCATTTATGAACCCTTATTTCTCAACTGTACAATAATAAAATTCAAAAAAATATGCTTTGTCTTTCCAGCAATACTACAGTCAGAGGGATTCTGTGCTCATGGCATTAATGGCAGCCCACACTTTGGCAACTATTAGTTTAATGATTTTAAGTGTAGGACTTCCCATATTAGCAACAAGGTGTACTGAGAACAGGAACCTAAACAACAGAAATTTATGCAAAGAGTTCACTTTGATCCGAAAAGCTGTGGGCCAAAGTTCAAGACTGCAGGCTTAAAAGTACCATTGTCCATGTTGAGGCACCAAGGCTCAGGTTCAGAAGAGCTTTCCCATACAGAAGACAGCTTAACCACTCACGTCAGTGCTGCCCGATTCAGAGGCCCCACTGTGGATTTCCAAAGCTATCGAGCCTCCCAGCTGTACATCTTGGCTACCCACTTCTGAGATGCTAGGCCATCAAGTCAAGACACTAGAGTAAAAGATTTTCTGCAAAGTGAACTTCAGAAATTTTCCTATAGCCTTTGGAGGGATTTTATTTACTGTCAAGCCATTGAAACAAATGTATCTGTAGTCTTTTGTACAAAGTTAAATGCTGAAAAGCTTAAGTATAAAACTACAGTTTAGTTTCTGTACAAGGTTAAGATGGGACAAACATCGTAAAACCTCAACTCATTTGTAGTTTCATGAAACTTCTGCATACCATCATCACAGCCTCACTGCTGAACACTGACATTTCATGTCCTAAATCCTAAGATAACAAGATTAAAAAACTGATTTGCACAAAAGAAATCTGAAATAACTTTATATACACAACAGAAAGCCTTTTAAAAGTACAAAAATAACATCTATATGCCAATTAGTTACCATGCTTTGACAGTTCTCTCGGTGCCTACACATGCAAGACAGTAATCTAAATTTAGAATAATTCTGCATCTGTAGAATGTATCAGAATATAAAAGACATTAACATATGACTAACTCTTTATTTTCAGAATGGATATGTATTCAAAATATCTTTATAACCAATACTGCAATATTCCAGTCTCTGCATGTATATGTGCAGATAAGCAGCTTTCATCTTACTTGATTTTAAAACCTCCTACAAGCTAGTAATCCACACTAAAAAGCTACGATGGTTCTAATGAATCTAGTTATACAAAGCAATTCAAAATGTACAAAAACTATAAAAAAGGGAACATTTATTGCCATGCATGAAACTTAAGTATGTTCAACTAAAACCTGCATCAAATGCAGTTTTGTTTTTTTTTAAAAAAAAGATACACAAAGCAATTTACATCAACACTCTTAACATTAGATCAGCAGAATCAGCTCTGACTAAATACCACAAGGGTAAGACACATTCCTTTTGCTGGTGCCTATCAGATCTTCAAATCCATGGGAACATAAAACCAGGAATCTTCGTTTCCCACAGTCAAATCAGATCATGAAATCAACTGAAAAGAGAAGTGTATTAGTTTTCTCCTTTCTCTCAATCCAATTACATACAGCCTCTCCTCTTGCATCAGACTATCAAGAAAATACACTCTACTTTTGCTATCACAAAAAACCAAGAACATCCCTACAGCAGACAAATTGCTCTCTTATGCCTTTGCTGATAGAGACACATGTATGCACAGGACAGACACAACTATTTCTAGATAGCCATATATCGACATCTGCAAATGCAGCCACAAGAGAAAGAAAAGTTACTTTATTAACTCCACTAAGTGAACCTCACTTCTCTAGTTCCATTTTTAGTTTTGGGGCAAGCAAAAGTAATTGAACTTGAAATTTTTTTTACAAATTACCAACCGCAGACTGGACAATAAAGCCTTTGTCATGAGTACATTAGATTAGGCCTAATCTTCAGTGCAGCAACTCAAAAGCAACATTGTAACTGTGCTATCAGGAGCGCATACAGAGAAAAGAAGCTATTCATCTCTATCCTCTTTGCCTTCTCTCGTTGCCAGAGCTTGCAGGTCTGCAGAGCTTATACAACCTCATGCATTGTTACCTACGAATGTATGTGGTCAGTGCATCAATTATAGTGCACCTTGCAGCCAAGGCTGTAATTTAAAGCAAATGCATAGCTTTCAGAGACTAAAAGTCATCAAAAATGATGATAGCTTTAATTTTAGTTTTGCTTACCAAAGAAATTCATAAGAGTAGTAGTGGCATGCTAAGAAAATGAGAGTCTGAAGCAGTTATTTTTGAAAGAGGGATACACAAAAGAAAAAAAAAATTCAGAGCCAGAGTTCAGGTTTATCAGAACACTAAACTTCCAATATACAGGAGGCTATTAAAACTAGTGTAAGAGGATGCCATGCCACTTTCTAATAGGCTGCAGGAAAAAAAAAAACCAACCCAGAATGTTTTCTAAATGATAAAGTCTTTACCTCTTTGACTGTTTTTTTAATGAAGTCTTTCCTGTCAGATAAATCATAACTAGGATAGTTTTCATACACCTAAAAAAAAAAAAAAAAAAGAAAAAAACCAAACCAAACCAAACCTCAAATTATTTTCATTCAATGTACTGTATGAACAGGAGGAGCTTAAATGAAGTTAGGGCAAGAATTGGTGTGGTACTTCTAGCATTACAACTGCCAAAATGCCCTCTGTTAATTATGGAAAGTGACAATCTCATTTTCCTGTCCTTATTTTGACCACATAAATATTTAAATACATGTACTTTTTAATGTTTGTTCACTGACTAAACTGGTACTATAATTTTTCACATCAACAAATTGGAATGTCTATCTTGGCATGTCTGGCAAATAAGAATTCTCCCATCTTTGTCTTATGTGCTCTCCAAGTAGTCAGATACCCCTGCATTAGTGTAGGAAACTAAACAAATAAAATCCCAAGGCTTATTTATTTTTTGGTAATATGTAAAATTGTGATCCTTTCAAGTGACTAATAGGGGAGTCAACATATTTGAGTGCTATTCTACAACTGTTCTTTGGTTAACTGAGTGGGAGAGGACCAAACAAACAAAAAACAGATGCCAACACTGACAACCAATGCAGAGTATTTTATTTCAGTATACCAAATTTCAGACTTCTAGGATGACTAAACATGTGACAAAAAGTTTGTACAGAATATAAACGTGCAGTTTTCTCATAAGAATAACTTCTGCTTTAATTTTCTCAAGACAACTTCTTGGAAGTACCAGGAAAACAAACATGAGTTAACTGACAGTAGAAAATACCAAGGTAACAGTATTTCCTGTGTTTTGGTCACTTTTCCCTTTTCCGGCCACATAGTCCCTTCCTGACACCTGTCCTGACAATTAATGGATTCCTTGCTGAACTGATTCAACTCACTAACTCAGCCGAGTCCTATTCATTTTTTGCTGATAGATTAGAGTTGAATGGACTCCTAAAGAGAACATATGAAGAATGAGAGCAAGGTGAGCAGGAAAATGTACAGAGACCAGGATACAGCCCTTTTGATAGCAGCAAGCTGCTGCACTGTCTCAACATCTCAAATATTTTCACTGCAAGACATGGCAGTTGTTTTGGAGGTAATACTGCTACTTTCCATGTAGCTAATTTTTCTTTGGAGACTTCTCTTCTAATATTGGGTATCGTTGTTGCATATCTTAAGATTAAAGCTCTCCTTGTTACAGCTATTAGTGAGTAAATAAATCAATGCAAAACTACTTTGTTTCTGAACCACTGTGCAGAGTGCAAGCCTCCGTTTCTGAAACGATGACAAAAGTCAGTTCACAGACAAACCACTGCCTAAAGAGATTGCAAAATCATATTTGCTTACCTCCTTGCAAATTTGTTTCATTGTGACCTCCTCCAAGTTTGCATTGGCCAACAAGTTCTTGACAGTTTCCTTAAGTTCTTCATCTGTGGGTGGTTTCTTCAGCTTTTTAATTAAAGGTTCATCATCCGAACTGTCCTCAGACTCACTTTCTAAATATGAAGAATAATTTGAATTGTAATAAAAGATTTTCTATTTGTCTGCTTTCTTCCTCCAAAACAGAAGCCATCAGAACTTTCCCCAAACATCTGATACAGATATTCTCACTTAAAATAGACATCTTGCCAGACCTTCCATTTAAAAACAAAGCTAATGCTATCAGTACCACATTTATTTATGAATCCGCATCATTGTTGATGAACTATCAGTTTACAAATCAATATGTACCCTAGAAACTATGGGACAGATTAATCTATCAAACTAAAAAAAGGCTTATTACAACAATTCTAAATTGAGGTATTATGGCCCTAAAAAAAGTACTTATCTGCTTTTAAAAGGAGTTCAGACTTTTCTTCCCCCCCAGCAGTGCTGTGCACTAGGATCTTGTAATTTTGCAGTGCTGTATTACTGAACATGCTATCAGAACACCATGACAGCAAATAAGAGAATCATAAAGGAAGTTAAGTGAAGAGGCACAGGACACTCCTACAATCTTTTCCAGCAGCAAAAAAATTAGTCTGAACGACTCCAACATCCACTCAGTTCCTCTACTGCCAAGAAGACAAAATTCAGAGCAGATGCCAAACAATCTAGATAATGAACTTACAGAAAGACCTACTTAACATTTTGATTTGTGTACTGCGAACATACACTCAAAACAGAAACGCAGGAGGGGTAAATTATGAACATATTACATAACATATATGCAAAACACGTATGTAATGGTTTTTTATATATATATATATGTTGATGACAAAATAAAGCATACACACACACACACACACACACACACACAGTGTCAGCCACATTAGTACTGCCAGCAGCCAACCTGAAAATACACCGAGTTCAGCGCAGGTGAGTTTACTCTGCTGAGAAATAAGGATATGAAAGAAGTTTAGCATAATTCCATGCCTAAGAGTTTAACCATTCCTTTTCTTAATATGCTGACAAGCAGAGTAATTAATCTGAACTGATGTCTGTGCTATAGTATACATGTGCCAATGCTGGCATTAAGTGAAGTATGTTTACAGTATAGATACATGCTGCATTAATAACTGATACTGCAATTGTAACAGAGACATGGCTGTTAGAGAGTGCCAGAGAATTTAAGGTGGGAAAGGACCTCTGGAGATCATCTGGTTTAAGCCGCTACACAGAACAGGGCCAACGTGGACCTGGTCACTCGGGGCCCTGCCAGGCTGAGTTCTGAACATCTCCAACAAGGGGGATTCCACAACTCCTCCAGGCCCCGTCTCTGTGACCATCCTCACGGTGAAGCTTTTCTTCCCCTAACATGTAATTGCAACTTCCCTGGCGTCAGCTTGTGCCTGTTGCCTCCCGTCCTCTCACTGTGCACCCCCAAGCAGAGCGTGGCCCTGCCTTCCCCATCCTCTCTCATTTGGTAGTTGCAGACTGCAGTATGATCCCCCTTTACCCGTCTCTTCTTAAGGCTGAACAAGCCCAGCTCTCTCTGCCTCCCCTCCTACATCGTGCGCTCCAGCCCCCTGGCCACGTTGGTGGCCCTCCACTGCATTTGCTCCAGTATGTCCTCAGCTGTCTTGTACCAGGGAGCCCAGTGCTGGACACGGCACTCCCGAGGCAGGCTCACAAGTGCTCAATAGGGGGTCCTAATCACTTCCCTCAACCTGCTGGTTACACGCTTGCAGAAACAGCGCAGAGTGCCATCAGTGTTCCTTATCACAAGGGCACACTGCTGAACTGGGTTCAACTCATTGTCTGCGAGAACCCCTACTCCGGTCCTTCTCTGCAAAGCTGCTTAGAAAGAAACTATTGTCCCCACCTGCACTGCTGCGATCTTTGCACAGGTATTAAGAAACTCAATGTATGTATACTTTTATGCATATCGTCAGATATGAGAAAACCAATAGCAACAGGATGCATGTAGAACCCATATCTATGTTAACAAAAAACACATTAAGCTGCTGAACAAAGATACACAGTATGATATATACTACTGGATCAATTGTAAGATTCACATGAAGTCGCTATAGAGGCACCAACAGAATTTTGCTAACGTTCTTCCAGCAGAATGAAGAACTAGGCTGATACTTTCAGTTTATATGCAAATATATGTAGACAATAGAAATTACATGAACTATACCCAAACTAAGAACTTTTTTTTTTAATTACTGTTGCAAGGAAAGAAATAGTAAGCCAACAATTCACCAAATTCTATTTTCTTTCACAACTGGGTGCAAAAGCTTCCTTTCTAATAAGCATGCCAGTTAAGCTACAAGACAATGTATGATGAAAGATTTAAGGCATTTACCTTTTCTAGAACTGTTCTGATTTTTTTTAGTAGTGCTGCTATCTGCCTTCTTGACATTCGCACCCTTCACAGCTTTCTTGGTTTTGGAAGTCACCTTTTTAGATTTTTCTCTTTTAGATGCTTTTCTAGGGGGCTATAAAGAAGAAAAACAGAAGATTAAAATGACGATTTCTATCCTAACAGTCCATACCTCTTTTCTACAATGGAAATTATCCTTTCTGTCAATACAAACTAAATCAGCAAATTTAATTACTATATCTTACTAGCAATTTCTACTCCTATACCATAGGGGGAATATGTCCACAAAGAGTATTCCTACATTCTTTTAAATTGCACATTGTCCTTCTACATTGACTCTTAAGCTCAAAGAGCTAGAACTTTTTGATTATACTAGTAGTTTGGTTGTGCTACAACTTTCCATTCATAATTACTTATAATTAGCTTATAAAGTCACTTTAAAGATGTTCCTTTAAACAAGGACATAGTATGTTGTATTCAATTACTTCTAGATGCTATAAGCTCTCTAAGACTACACACGGCTAATTCTTTTTGCACTAGCTGAGGAGAACTACATTAGCTAATCCATAATTTAGCCAATTATTGTGACTAGTAAACCCCCAAAATCATTGCATTAAGTTAACATCAACAGAAGAAATTGGGAACATAAATACATACAGTATACACGCATCAGTGCACTGCATTTCTGGCACAAATTAAATGTGTCCTTAACACACAGAATCTTTAGACAGTACTTCTGACAAGGCTGAAAACTTTCCTCACAGAAGCAAACATGGAACACTGACCAGGAATAAACCATACTTCAGAGAAAAACCATCATGAAACAAAACAAATTAATTAACAATAGTTACTAAATTCATAATTCTAATTTATATTTTAAATGGCAGTGTAGTCAGCTGAGCAAACTATCAACATCTAAACACTTAAGATTAGCTCATATAACTTTTAACTGCTTCTGCCATTAGTACCTGGTGCAACTCATGAAACTAATATTTAATAAACCAGATTATATTTATTTATATTGGCTTGCTCAGTTACAGTTGCACTTGCTCTGCAGTGTTAAATGAAGGATGAAGACTTTCACTATTGAAATTCAGAAAATACACTCAAGATGGCTCCATTTCTCAATAAATGTTTGTAGCTTGTAACTTTTCAGCTTTCAGTTTTCTGCTAAAGCTCCACCACCAGCTACAAAGTCAGAAATTAAACCTGGCACTCACGTTTCAGTTTTTTATAAAATTATGCTCCCCCAGCACACAAAAATATTTCAGGTATCTTTTGCTTCCAGGTAACTGTAAGACTTTTTTTGTTTGTTTGTATTGTTAAAAGAAAGAGTTGCAATCAAGAGAGACATGCAACTCTGAGGACAATCTACTCCAGCCACTCCATACCTAAGATTCCAACGGAGCTGGGGCAGCAAAGCAGATTTGCTGCCTATGTCCTTCCACCTGTAGTACGTTAAAGAGTGTCATAAACCTAACTTTTTTTTTAAATACTGCAATCTTAAAGCTGTGCAAATGAAGACATTTTCCATTTCACCATTTCCTAATATTCAAACTAATTTGACATACTAGTGTTTTTGTAATAATTAAGCTTTTACTCCATGCAAGTCAACTTCAGTTTCCAAAGACTGCAGACTACTCAGCTATTGCCTGGCAGACCTATCTAACTCCTACCTTCTGAAAGAAGGGAAAGAAAACCCAGTTAGATCAATGGGGTTTACTGTGAGGTTTTTTTGTTTGTTGGATTTTCATTTGTTTGTTTCTTTGGGGGGGGGGGGGGGGGTGGGTTTTTTTTTTTAGATAACCGAGTCCTTGAAAAATTTTCTAAAAGACAACTCCTGCCTCTGAAAGTGACATTCCTCTCCTCACAGTAGGAAGACTGTTCTGCTGAAGAGATGAACAAATATAAAATTAACTTTTAGTATTTCAGCCCTCTTTCAATTTGCCTTCTGTGGGGAAAGAAAAAGGCAAACCAAGAATTAAGTTTGTTTCATGGAGGCATAGGGAATTTCCTTGAACCATCTTTTAAAATTAAAACCAACACCTATCAAAATGACAGTGACAAAACAAACTGTTAAAGTTACATAAATTGGCTTTTCAACAGAAGATTTTTGTTACTATTTTCTATAGTTCAGACTATTTACTTAACAGCCTGTCACACTTCCACTGCATACACAGAATTTAACCCAAGTAAATAATGGTCTTACATTACAGCCAAAGGTTCCATAATTTATATAAAGAATTTCCATGGACACCATCAGTCAACTAATTGCTGTTTGTTGCAGTGGTCTGATTAAGGCGGCAGTACCATCTATATCAAAATATAGGATAAGATGGAGCCTGTAGCTCCTTTTAATTTCGTTTTTCCAGGCTTCAGGCATATGGACAAATCTGTATACACTTTGTACACAAATCAGCTGTACACTTGTACTGGACCTCCATGTTTTGTGTCTATTCTGTGACAAAGTACAGGGCTGAAAGTGAATGCACAGGGAAAGGTATTTTGCATTTAAATATAAAGATCATCTAATTTCTCTCCTACTATGCAAGGCTAAAAGAAGCTTCAAAGAAAACAGAAGAACAGAAAACACAGCGAGATGAGAACACTTTGGAGATTGCAGAGATCTTTGTAAGGCTGCTTACTACGTTGCTCACTTTATCTTTGCAATCCAAGACACAGAACCCTAAAAGAGAGATTAGGACATAAAATCCAGGACAAATATGGAACCAAGATCCAAACACAATGCAGCCAGGTAGGTCAGGGACCTCTACTGAATTCAACGTTAAGTCCTAGGCACCCAATCAAACCCTACACAGAAAAAAAATATATAGATATTGGGAGTTTTTATGAAATTACAATAAAGTCACCACAAGATGTTTGAAATCCTGGCTGCCCCAAAATGACATATAGCAAATGGTTTTATAAGGTGCATATATGCATCCAAGAATCAGAATCTTTGCCTTTTATCTTATTGATTCTCTAACTTTAATGCACTGAGAAATTATGAAAATCTCTTATAAACTGCGGAGGTGTTCCCTTTTCTTTCAAACCATTCATTCAGTTAAACATCACTTACCCCCCAACTCCGCGTGTTCCAAGAATTACCAATCAATAACAACCACATAATGACAAATTACAGACAAATGTTTTTAGCCCTAAGTTGAAAAACAAACAAAACCCCTCATTACCTCATCTTCACTTTCTTTTTCTTCTGAAGAGTCATCTTTTTCCTTCTTCTCATCTTCTTCACTACTGGATTCATCCGACAAGATCTCTGGGCACTTGGTGCGTTTTGCTTTTCTTGTTGTTCCAGTGCTACTGCGTTCCTTTTTGCCACCTTTGCTTGGTGTTTTTTTGGACTTTGGCAATGGCTGAGAGACAGAGATCCAAGTAGGAATAAAAAAGTGAATTTAAAAAATATCCTTCAAATTACATGAAAGAACAGTAAACAAATATAGAGGTCTCTAAGTCTTGATAACAAAACCCAGGACTATTTTATGTACTACACTTAAGCCCTAACATTTTGCAGTAAGCAGAAATTCATTCCAGAGATGGAGCTGAGTAAAATGAAATTTCAGTCTAAGCCAAGCACCCCTTCCACTCCCCTAACCAAACAAACTTTCAAAGGTTGGGGGTTAGGGAAGGGAAGCAAGAAAGAACAATCTAGAAGGAACCTTTACCTACCTATGCCCTCCCAACTCATAAAAGCCAGCTTTTTCTTCTGATAACAAATTAGCTGACAACTCTTCAGAAGACTTAAAGGTAGGAATTCTGTCACGTCTTATGCAAAACTGCATTTTGTTGTCACTCAGTGCCGCTGTCCCTAAGATAACATGCAGACTCCTTGTTTACATCACCTACCAGTGTTTGCTGGGAATAAATTTAATTTCCTGAGCAACAGTCCAACTATTTAAGTATTGCTTTTAGATCGAAAATGGAAAGTCCAAGATTAGTAATAGAGTTTAGTAGTCTTGGCAGCTGAATCTAGCGTACTAGCATATACTAGTTAAAGCAAGTTTTCCTAGCCTTGCAACAAATTCCGTTTTGTGATGACCAAGTGCGATCACACTTGCCAACTTGTAGCACACCCACGTAACATCTGACAGCTTATTTTCCTGTCCTTTCATGTTTTATTTCCTTGCTCTGACACCTTTTTTTCTTCTTTTTCTTTCCTGCTCACATACTATGTCTCCTCCCCTCCATTCACCCACAAAGCAGAAGCTACTTAGGGTATTTGGGTATGGATATCTCTAATTGGCTTCATGTATTCACCTCACACACTTTTGTGAGCTAACAGTGTGTAACAGGTGCACTTATGTGTAAGCATATAGTCTAAGTCCTCACTGCATTATGGATGTCTGTAGAAGTAGAACTACTCTCTTTCAAGAAGCCATTGCTACTTCACCAAGTTAGAACAGTAACTCATCACCACTGGTAACAAGCAAATAAGAAGCAATACAGACAGCTGCATAACAGAGCTATAAAAGCAAGGATAACAACCTGCATCTCACCTTGCCTGAAGATTTTGGGTGCATTAAGAAGTTTAAGATTCTGGTTACCAGCTCACTATTAACTCCTGATCTTTCCAAGTCGAGAACTTCACAGATACTTTTCAACATTGCATTTCTAAATCTGGAGAGAAAAAAAAAGATTCAGTATCATATCCTAAACAATCAGTCAACATTTGACTGACAGAAGCTGCTATCTGGTTTGCATTTGCAACCTGACAATAGGCATGGATATATACACTTAACTATGTTTCCAGTCTTATCCATAGTTAAGCAAAGAACCACCACCATATTACATAAAGCAAAATAAAACAAAATTCCCAAATCCACGTGTGTAAAGTAGGATATATAAAAAAAAGTTATAAAATCTTAATAAAAAAATCTTCCCCAGAATCTCTCCTAATTTACCACACTGGAAAGAATCAATCTTGGAAAATAAATCCGGTGGGTACAAGACTTGAACTCAAAGGGGGCAGGGGGCCTCCCTTTTTTTTCTCTGGTTCCTTACCCCTTTATGGAAGTACCTCTGATGAAGATAGAAGGTTAAGAGAAACTCTGACATCCACCCCCTTTACTCCAAAAGGCTCTTAAACCAATTGTCCCACTTTATCATTTGTCCCACCGGTATTGAAAAAAGTGGAAAGAAAGAGTCAAATCCTGTGAGGGTATGACATCAGAACGCAAGCTTCATGAGAGTTTAAAAACAAAACAAAAAACCCCCTACTTATTCTACCTGTTACCTCCCTTTGCATGCTTATGCTTTCCTCTTCATTCATTTTGTATGATGCTGCCTGAAAAGTGGATTTCGTTGTCTGACCACTTTTCACAAGTTTAATAGCTATTCCTGGTAATCAACGTCAAAGGAAACTTATTTTTCATTGTTCATTTAAAAGTCAGTGCAACTATTTCATGGTGGCCTACAACTTCTCTAAAGTAGCATTTAATTTCAGACTGTCCCTTTAGACTTACAGACTTTCCAAGGGGCAGAACAACTTTGTTCTCCCATGTTTTAGGGCATGGGAACAGAAAATCCTAACTGGTTTGGTGCATCTCCCTGCCTCAAAGTATAGTTCATCTATCATCCTTCCAACAATGAACTAAAATCTTTCAATCATTTTTCTAGACAAGGTTATAAAAAAATCTGTACAATCTTAACATGCATAAGGCCTTCCTGTTTAGCTTTTGGGGATACACTGAATACTTGTAAGGTATTCCTGCAAAATCAAAAGTCAGTCTCTTGCATTTTAAGAGACAATAATACTATAGAGTTAAAACTCACCTAACTTGTTAATGGATTTAAAAACTACATAGCATCAAAGTTAGTTTCAGACTTTCAAGACCTTGTATACCGAATTAAGGATTTTATGGTTCTGTTGCTGCTTTAACTAAAATTCCTTATGACTTATCTTACACATGGCATTTGTCCTTGTATTTTAACTTAAGTTAGAACGGGTATATATAAAGAATAAGTACCACTCCCCAAATCCTTTCATATTTTTAATGCTTTGAAGGTACATCTGCAGGTAACAGCAAACATAATGTACCAAGTATTAAAATGCAGTTCAAGTGTGGAATAAACACGTGCACACAAGTTTTGAGTCAGTAGCTTCCATAGCAAGTAGTTTCGACTTACAAAATCCATGAACTCTAATCCACACAGCAACCTCAAACCTCATTCTTTGTAGTTTATAACCTGAGCAGTAAGATTCTGCAAAATAAATTTTGTCCTTTGTTTATCTTGTTCAATGCTGTTAAAACATGATGACATGCAAGTGTACAGTGTGGGCAGAAATCAACCACGCAGTCAGAGTAAATTAATAATCTAATCAGCAGTGTTTCGTACATAGCTATGAACAGCAGCAGAACTTGCCACAGTAACACAAGTACACAGCGCCTAGTACCTTGATGTAAGAGTGACAATGCAACCAGTTTTCAGAATATTTGCTGAAGACTGAAGGGTAACAAAACATAACCAGCAGTTCTTTCATATTGAAAATATGAAAAAAATGTGCAAAAATACCTTGTCACCTTTTGCAGATAAGGGGAAACATTATCCCATTAAATCAGTGGGAAGTGGTCAAAACTCCCATCCTGAGAAAGTTTGTCTTGTAGATTCATGTGTATTTGACAAAGCCTACTCCTAGAAAACTGCGTATCTGAGGAAGATTTGCAAATTCCAGATTCTGGAAGCCTTTCTACTATCAACAAACTGTCACTAAAAAAACCAATTTAGAATCAATTGTGTAGAAGTTATTAGCTCTTTCATGCAAGAGCATTTTTAAACCCTTTCAGTCCAGTCAAAACCAAGCTGCAGCAGCTTCTCCTGCTAACAGAGAAGCAGCTTATGTGGGGAGACAGTAAAAAAAAAAAGTAAAATTGTTAGACTAGTTGCTAGAGCAATTTTAGGAATAAGACTGTACATTTAACATACAGTAAGCAGAAGTGGCTTTGATTGTGAAGGAGGTTTTGAGGCATAGAAGGATGCAAGTTTGCACCATGAATAGAGCACGATATATTCACAACACTATGCTTGCCCTGGAGAAATAACATCTTCCTCTCACTTGGCAGAAGAATCTGATAGTTAGCATGCAACAGTTAAAGCCAGGACTGTAGGAATTGTGAATAAAGTGTTCACAATTTAACTCTTTTTAACACATTTCAAGTTGTCTTAAGAGACCAATTTGTGTGATTAAAATGAGCTCAGAAACAGATCATAGAACTCCAGGAAACAGCCACTCAGCTTAAAGTTTAAATTTAATCTGAAGTAAAATTTTGAAAATAAAAGGAGTGTATAGCATGAGTCAAGCTATGTTAAGTAGCAATAAATCTCATTACTTTTTTAACATTTCTTCCTTCTTTTTGTATTGGTCACTTCCTTTTTCAAACGGGAACCCGCTGAACTGACCCACATTCTTCTTTAGGGAAGCAACCTAGAACAGAACACACAGATTACTTTCCGTTGCAAGTAGCTTAAAAGATTTCATCCAATTACATTTGTTAACTTTTCATACAATAAAAATCTGTTCTAGCATTTAGCTTTCTGTTGACAAAAAGTTATACCCTTTAAGTTATAACCTACATGGATTATGCCTTTATTTATCTCATGACAGCATAGCTACAACGAAGTTCTTGTCATCTTGATACTTTTAATTCCTTCTAATAACTTGCTAGGTAAAATCACCTGCAGTTTCAAGCTTGTTTAGAACGTACTGCATGATTATTTACAGGTTTACACAACTATGTTCATATGAAGCCTGTTGCATGCTTTGTATCATGTGATTTGTTATAGAATAGTGAATTTTATTTTTACTATATAATCTGCTAAAGCACATTTGCTTTACTTGCTTTTCTAAAGTCTTACACAGGATCATGATTGTACTTTTGAACCTTTTCTTTAGCATGATCGATTTTTGCATTTATATACCACCCAGTTTACAACTTTTGCCATTATACCTGCAGTCTGAACAGGGTTGAACTTTCATTGCAACAGCCCTTATAATGGGAAAATTGCTCCCATCAAGATCCCAAATATATTCTTTGTTTTTGCTCCATCTCCTTTTACAAAAATAAAAGTTAAAAACCATCCCCAAATCTTTCGTTCTTCTGAATTCTTTTTAACACTATCAAGAATAATTTGAACTCACTTTCTATAGTTCTACAAATTTTATTCCTGGTCTTTCTCCATTAGTTTATAATTTTACCAAAGCTAAGCTCCTTTTCCAAAGAGAATTACCTTTGTCCAGCACCTAGAGAAAATCTGCAGATGGTATTGGCATGTTTTATTAAAAATGTTAACTACGATCCAAAGCACATACAGAATGTGCATACAAGACAACATCTGATCTTCACTATATTAAACAGCATTCTGAGTTCCCTACAATTCTGATTAAGTATAGTTTTCGATGAAACCATATCAATATATATGTCCAAGCAAATAAACATATTGTCGTATCTTTGCACTCAAACCACTGGGACACTGCAGCAATCCAGCTGGACTTTCCAACAAGTCTATGTCCAAAAGACTAAATGTGGGAGGGCAGAGCAAAGTGGGGGTAGAATTGCAATCAAGTAAGTGGTGTAGGAGGGAAGGGCAAGAGCTTTATTTCAACAGCAGTTGTGTCTAGTTAGTATTATTTAGGAGTGTTAAGTATCAATTTACAATTACATCATTTGCACGTAATTATGAAACTGCGAATAGTTATGTGTCTATTAGTTTATTAGATTATTTATTATTGATCACTAAATCAATTATTAAAAACAGTATAATTGAGTTGTTAGTTTCTTAGTAATGTGTTGCATAATCAATAAACAATACAGTCTCTTAATCAGTTATGTCTCAGATCTGCAATCTAAAGTGGGAAAGATGGATTCTGAGGTAATGATATCCCAGTACCTCCACCCAAATACAGTAGAAAAGTATTACTAGTTTCATGAAGGGTAAATGGATGCAGTTTGACAACTTTCACAGTAAAGCCAGTTAAATCATAAAGTTACATGGTTCTGGTTTTGTACCTTTCCTATCCAACAATTAAATTCTACGTCAGGACAATCCAAAAGTTTGCAAAACTCTGTATGCACCGAATCAGAAATTCTCTAGTCTGGTTTATTGCCATACTGAAAAAACCAGCATAATTCACAGAAGTAAGTTTTAATGAATATATACTGTTCTTCTTCTGAATGCTGGAGGCAACAGATCTTTCTTTGCCATTTAAACAACCATTGCATTTGCAGCAGTGGTCTGAGATGTTACAGCTAGCATGCATCTGCACTAGTACTATTCAGTTTCTGGTTTCTGTGCTAGTTGTTCAAGTTTCCAAATACTCAAAGAGACTAAAACCAAATTCCCATAAATATGGTAAGTGTATTGAAATAGTAAAATTTAATATGCCTTATTTCCTCTACATCTGTTTTACCTCTATTAGCAAGGAAAATGGGTCATATTTACTCTGAAATCTAAGGCACAATCACTGATACATAAAGGGCTCCAAGAAAGACTTGCTATTATATTTTCTTTAAGTTTCATTCTTAAATACAAAAGTGAGCATACCAGTTTTTAACTAATATTTTAATTGTCTTAGATAAATGTGACAAAAATCACTATTAAGATTTTACATATAATGTAGTTTTACTTTCTACTGCTTTGTGCAAACTAAAGGAGAAAACAACTAGGTAAGTAGCAATGTATTAAAACCCAATACGTTTCAAACATAAAAGAAACAGAAGTACTAAGAGAAAACTATGTTGAACAAAATAACTACATGGAGTATTTTGACTATAATCCGCGTGTCAGCAGCTTTTAGCATCTCAACCATAAATTATTTCCAACTCATCCTCATAAGTTAAACTATCCCTCCCTCCCATTAAAAACAAACAAACAAACAAAAAAAATCTATATTCAAGCAGGCTTACAATTCACCTTTCCATAGGATTTTTACAGGGAGAGTAGTTTACAGGAGTTAGAAAAATTATGGGCTTGCTTAACTGGTCCTGCAATATTCATTTTTTTTAAGTAGTTTGTAATAAATCACACTTGAAATAGATCCACATGTGCAAACGTAAAAAACTATACTACAAACATTTTCACTATTCATGAGAACTAGTAGATATACAAGATTGATTTTAAATTCTTACAGTGCCTGGCCTGTTGTAGAGGAGTTTGTGCAGGTTCCTAAGTTCATCTGTCTTCTTTTTACTCAGAAAGAATTGTATCCTTTCAATTTCACAGAGTTTTTGTCCTTTTCCTGAAACAGTTAAAATTAATTATGCTATTCATCACATTCATAGTAACCTATGTTTGTCACTTCAAAACATCTAGTGGTTTTTAAAAGAGCAAAAAAGTTATTTCAGAATAGCATCAGACATTATAATAGGTCAAACATTAAGCAGGCCTTTTCCTATCAATCAGGCATCCTGACAGTCTCTTTATCTTCCTTACTTGATACTACCTAGACCAGGGTACATTTCTTTTTATTCTAGCTGCTTCTGCCTTTGTTAGTGGTGGCTAGGTACTGAAGATCCTATTCCAGGTAAGTTTAAACATTATAGAACTTTTATGATTTAAATTGATGCTACAGAATAAAAGAGGGTTTTCATATAATTAAATAGCCTTACTATTTAAAAATGGATCACAACTCTTAAGTTAGGTCTTATCTACAACAAATTAATAATTTGATCTTTTAAGAGGTTTCATTATCATTCCCAACAGTCAAAATTCTTACGTGAGAGTACAAGCTTACCTGGTGTAATTGTAAAAGGTTCCTTTTGCAATGAGGACACCTGCATGGTCAGTCGGTCTACCTTCTTCTTCTCCCTTTTTCCTTCAACAATGAGACTCTTTTCTGCAAAAGACAGCTTCCTTAAAAACAGTATTTTTCATTATACAAGCAGATTCAACTGTAATGACATGCAATACAACACTGAATCTTTGAAATTGCAAACCAAAAATGGATAATGATATAACCAGGTACTATGACACTTTCAAACCTTTGGCTAATAGGTCAACGGGATTCTATGGAGCTGTATATATATAACTAGGAGTCTAGTTCTTAACCACAATCCTGTACCCAACTTAACCCTGAAGACAAGACTGGACATTTCCTAAAGAGGACTTCACCCCACAATGGAGCACTATGCATTTTCAGAAACCCATCCTTCTCTCCCTTTCTGAGGTACAGAACTGACATTGTTTGTGTAGTCTCTTTCCGGGACGCTGCAGCCCCTACACGCACAGCTCCACTTGAGCTCTCTCAGGGAGAATACTACCCCCAGATGGGCAAAAGAAGAGTCCAGCATGCCTGCAGACATTTTCTTTTCCCACTACCGGACTGGAGGACCCACACATATCAGCAGGAGAGGCAGAAGCACAAGGACAGTGGGACTGTACTACACCTCCCAGGGCTACGGAGTGTGGCACTCTGCAGGGCACAATACGAGTGTCACAAATACTACAATAGTATTCCCAGTAATTCTGGTACTGCTTAGTAATGAATATGTTTAGATTGTTTTATGTATACATTGCACATCACTACTTTAATGATACCACATCTCCTGGTTTTGGCTGGGATAGAGTTAATTTTCTTTCTAGTAGCTGGTATAGAGTTGTGTTTTGGGTTCAGTATGAGAAGAATGTTGATAACATACTGATGTTTTCAGTTGTGGCTGGGCAGTGTTTATACTAAGTCAAGGATTTTTCAGCTTCTCATGCCCAGCCAGCGAGAAGGCTGGAGGGGCTCAAGAGGTTGGAAGGGGACACAGCCAGGGCAGCTGACCCAAACTGGCCAAAGGGGTATTCCATACCATGTGATGTCATGCCCAGTATATAAACTGGGGGGAGTTTGCCCAGGGGGTGGATTGCTACTTGGGAACTAACTGGGAATCAGTCAGCAAGTGGTGAGCAATTGCATTGTGCATCACTTGTTTTCTATATTCCAATTCTTTTATTATTATTATTATTGTCATTTTATTATTGTTATTATTATCATTGTTATTTTCTTCCTTTCTGTTCTCTTAAATTGTTCTTATCTCGACCTATGAGTTTTTCTTTTTTTCCCCCTGATTCTCTCCCCCATCCCACTGGGTGGGGGGAAAGTGAGTGAGCAGCTGCGTGGTGCTTAATTGCTGGCTGGGGTTAAACATGACACCATGTCAGAAGGAAAACCCAAAGCTTCACCTAAACACTTCATACTAAAATACTTGATCTCAAATCAAGCTATCCTTAGCGCTAAACAGATGGGCTATCCTGACTTTAACATCTGAAAGTAGCTTCAAAATCTGTATGGACATAATCAAAACTGGACACGTATCTGCTGAAAACAGAGCAAACCATACTCGTGTGTGCTCAATAAAGTTTTTTCTAAAAATCTAATTCTAATTACTCTATTGTTTCCCAAACAGCATAATCTCTTTTCTTTCTACTACCTTTTCTAAAGACAGACTTCAGCTCTTTTAAGAATCCAAGACCATCAGTGACTTGGTTTTCACTGTGCCATACTGCAGCTCTACTTCCATGGATGCTTTCATTTGCAAAACCAGTGCCTAGAGACTTCAGGACGGCAATTAACATTTTTGTATAGTAGTTCCTTCATCACACCTTGTATTCCTTGACTACCCTCTTCAATTACATGCCACAACATAAAATCTCTATTGCTTGCTCATCCTATGATATCGCCATGATTTTTATTGACAAAATTAGTGAGACAGAATATCCCTCCTCCAATATAATTAAATTCTGGTACCCAGTAATTTAGTTCACAGTAGTTAAGCAAAGACTTCTGTATTGTTTCAAAGCTACAGCACAGATTTCTCAAGTTTCTCTCTTTTGCAAACATGGATCGCTTCAGAGTGTTACTGGCAAAAAAGGATTCTCTTTTGGATATGCTTTTTTATACAAATAATTTGATAAAGGATGCCACCTCTTATAATCATCTAGAAGTTTATACAACACCACCACCACCACCCTAGCACAGGAATCCAGGATGCTGGCAATTCCTTCAATCTTTCCTGAGGAACACCATCATCGCTGTTTCTAGTGTTGTCTATTATAGTCTACTGGGAAGCGATTTATGACCTATGAGATAGATGTACCATGGAATCTCTTAAACAATAATTGTACAATTAGCTGAGGTCACAGGAGACTGCATTCAGTAAGCTTGGCATTTTTTAAAGGACAACTTATTCAGTGGAAAAACAAGTACCCTTTTCTTCCTCCTCCTCCTCCTCTTCTTCTTCATCTTCATCACTTTCCTCAGCTTTGTTTTCAGTTTCAGGTTTTTTCTCATCTGCTTTTTCAGACGACATTGTATCTTCTTTTGATGAAACAACAGAAGACATGGTGTATAGTTCTGTAAAAAGCAGTCAGGGAAACCATCATCAATATAGCATTATACATGAAAAACAGAGGATTCTTGCTTTTTAAAAAAATCTTCTTGTATGGTAGAATTAATGTCACAGTGCTCGTATTGTGATTATTCACATTCTTTAAGACACTAATGTATTTTGCATACACACAATACATAGTATTTTTCAGGAGGAATTGCCATCCATTCTGCAACTAGCCTGGTTAAAAAGAGTTTAAAAGGTTATAAATTCTTTCCACACACAAGCCTTCAAGCTTGCTTTGTGAAGCACTTGGAAACACCTGCTCAAAACAGTTGATGCTGCTATCTATTAAGAACTGTAATGTTTTAAGATATCACAATTTTAGTGCACCGTATTATAAACTGAGTAGTTATTTCTGATCATGGTTAACCATGCATACAAGTTTCCTAGTAAGTTAAACAAGCTACATATTTAGATGGGAAATAGGAACAGAAAAATGAAAAATAAAAGTTATGAGCAATTCGGAAAAAATTAACACTGCTTCCAGAATTCAAATAGTTGTGACATCTTAGGGCTTGAAAATGCTTTTTGGTTTTAATGTGCAGATCTACAACAAAAAAAAAGAATAAATGGTTCATACTTAGGATATTTAAGAGGAGTCTTTTCTTAGCATTTGAAGCGGCTTAAATGTTAGCTTCAAAATATCTCACTTTGGCAAGTACCATTTCCCTACTGACAGAGAATGTCTATCTAACAAAGGAAGATAGCCATATCTGTTCATTTCAGAAAAAGTCTAGCTTTCAAAATCTTTCACTGTTTACAGATTGGGAACAAAATACAGCTGCAGTTGTATAAGCCCTTGTGGAAAAAAAAATAATCACATGATTAACCACTTTCTTTTTCTGATATTAAAGCCAACATTATCTGCAAGAGGTCAGACTCAATAAACAAAATTAAATCAACTGCTTATATGCAACATTAGCAGGTGCCAGAGAACAGCAGCACTCCAAATGACAGAAAACACGAGTTACGTTACCAGGAGTCAGGGAAAAAAAGAAAGTTTACTCCTCTTTGATAAATCACTGGGGGAAAAAAAATTTTGCTCTCAGGGTATTACTACCAGTATTTCACTTGACACGGAAAAGTAGTCTGGCTTTTTCACGATACTACTCTCTGAATTTTACTTGTATGCACAAGTGAAAAAGCAAGCGAAGTACTAGAAGTTGTCTTTCCTTCCCCTTTCAGCGGGAGCAGAAGGGGAATAGGAAAGTAAGAGACTTTTTAGCTTTTCGACAACCAAGTCCGTGAGAACGACCTGCTTCGGGAAAAAGGGTACTGGGACCCACCTTTAGGAAGGCTGAAGCCGAGGGTATTTTCGGCCAGGAGAAATACCTCGCAAGCCGCCCCGAGGAGGGTACTGTGCACAACGGCACCTCCCACCCTCGCCCAGGACTTTTCCGACACGGACTCGCCACCTGTCCCCTTCCCGGCTTGCGAGCCGAAGGCCGGGGAAAGGGACGACGCCGGGTAGCGCCCGGAGGAGCCGGCGGCCAAGGAGAAGGGCGGCGGGGGCAGCGGCGAGCGCCGTCCCCCTCCCCGAACTACCAGGCGGCCAGACCGTTCCGCCCGCCTCCCGCCGCAGGGCAGGACGGAGCGCCCAGGAAACACCTCAGGCGGAAAACGCAGCCCGCCGCCCGGCGGAGGCCTGAGAGGGAAGGAGGGAGGGAAAGAAGGAGGGAGGCGGCCCCCCGCGGCCGCCGGTGGGTCGGCCGGCGACAAGCGCTCCCGGCACACGGCGTCCCCCCCCCCG